TAAACACTTTTGCTTTTTCCTTTCATTACCCACTAACTTAAAAACAACATCCCTTGTTTTTATTAACTTGCCTCTAATTCAGTACTATTAATGCAGTGTAAAATAGTAAATGGACTGTACTATGAAGTAAGGCTATAAAACGTACATAACTTTGAAACATAAAAAAAATTATTCTTTTATTGTTAGTTTTTTAAAAAATAATTTTTTTTACTCTTAGTCTAATAAATAATTTTTACTTCAAGCATTCTGCATAAAAACAGTGATAAACAGTGATTTGCTGTCTAATTATCTTTTTAAATCATACAACTGGATTTCTACAAGAATAAATGAATAACCAATAGGATTTTACAAACACAAATGAATAAACAATAAGATTTCTACAGGAAAAATGAATAACCAATAGGATTTCTACAAGAACAAATGAAATAACCAATAGTAAAACACGGAATCTACACAATCACTAGTAACATACTTCACATACAATTAATAGAATTAATAAAAATACTGCACCTACGATGATAAAAAAATATCACCAATACAATTACTATTAAGTAATAAAATATTTATCAATTGAAGATTATTAAAATATAAAAATCAAAATTAAATAATCAAAAATTAAAACAAAAAAATTTTGCAAAACCTACATTGAATCTATAACTTTAATTTCATTTTTAATAGTGTTTAATTAATTAAACACTAACCAAAAAGCACACACTAATTTTAATATTTTTTGCAAGCACTAATAGTTATTGGCTTTTAGACATTAAAATGTAATTATAGATATTTTGTAATTTTACATTTTTTCGATGCAAATACTAAAAGTTTAGATTAAAACAATTTTTCTCTGCTGCACTTTTAAGAATATGCACCACTTTGATAATCTTAAAAATTCAGAGATGTTTATCACTCATATACTTTCCATGACCGCAGAGATACTACAAGGAGGTTACTATTTTTTTTTAAATTTTTGATTCAACCTTCTCTTGACCAGGGATGTTGAGTCCCAAAAAGACTCCAGCTTTATATCTCTATTTTTCCATGGTCTCTGGAGCCCAGAATCTCTAAACATGTTGGTTGATTTATAAGAAAAAAAATTAGAAGAAAAAACTATAAGAAAAAAATTCATGAAATTTAATGACTTAGAACTTTTTTTATAAGCTCCAAGTCCCGGAGTTCTTACCGCCATTATACCTAAAAACTTCAGGTTCAAAAACTTTGAATTGATTGTTTCTCTAAATAAAAAGTTTTAATTTTTTTTACCTATAGTAGTCCATTTACTTTTTTTATATTTTTAGAGCTCCTGGATAAGTAGAAGTAATTTTTTTGTGACTTTCAAATCGGGAGTCCTTTTAAGGACTTTGCATACTTGCTCTGAAACACGAGACAAAATGCTGCGCAGACTAATGTCCCCTTGTAGTTCTGCGCTGCAGTACTACAAGGGGACATTAGGGTAGAACTTGGAACTTCTCCCTTAGAAGCAAGCTCTACCACTAAACCACTATTGTATTATTAGCTCCTTAAATAAATAATAAAAACACACCGTTTTTACACAAGCAAATACTACAGTGCCATTTTCGTCAGTTTCTTCCCAAGGTTCTTTTACTGATATACCACCTCTTTCTATAGTTTTCTGAAAGAAAAAAATTATTATTTGTATTAAACTTAAATAGTATTTGAATTTCATTAACTTAAAAGTGATTTACTTTAAAGAGGCCAGAGGTTTTAACTTTGACTGAGGCCAGATTTGATAGAAGAAATCCAATGCTAAGTTGGGTTTATATATACATATATATATATATATATATATATATATATATATATATATATATATATATATATATATATATATATATATATATATATATATATATATATATATATATATATATACATATATATATATAACAATTATACTTTGTAGCACAATAATGATTTGAAGCACAAAATTTTATCTTTAATATGACAATTTTGAATCAAAAATGATATATCTGACTAAAGTTAAAGTATATTAACTTAATTGAATAAAAACAAAGTTTATTATTCTAAAATTTCAAAAATTGATAAGAACTTTCAAAAAACTCAAGAAAGCAAACTTAGTGAATATAATAGAAATAATTATTCACTTGAGGCATATTTTCTGTTATTTGTGGAGTTAATTAATTTTTAAAAAACTCCCAGGAAAAATATTATATATACATTAAAACCAATTAAAAACAATTAAAACCCAACACAAAAAAGTGTTAATCTTGAACTATACTATTATACTAGAAATAAGCTTGAAAAGGCCTGGGCTCCATTCAGCTTTTCCTTAGGTTTTTTTTTTGAAAAAAATTTGTTAACTAAAGTTAAAATTGAAATTGAAAAAAAAAACATTTAAGATGTAAATATATTTTACATAAAAATAATAAATGACTTACATGATAAAGTTTTACACAATCTTCTACTTCGAAAGCAATATCTTTGACACCATCTCCATGTTTAGTTTGATGATTACCATACTCTTAAATTGTACAAAATAATTGAACATATATTATTCATAATAATAATTATTATTAATGATTTGGGTGTATAAAAAAAATAAATTATTATTTGGACAGGTACGCTTATGCTTACAAAAAATGTAAACATAAGCGTACCTACCCAATTCTCAACTGATATATGTACTTAAGCATACATCAGCAGGAGATGACTGTTTCAATATGACATTATCAGTTAAGTGCACATAGATATTTGTATTTACACATATACTTTATGAATCTTTTGCATATCACTGATATGCAAAAGCTTCATTAAGTGTGTGTGTGTTTTCAAAAGGTCTTGCATATCAAAAACTTTGTTCAAATAGGATATTCAATATGTTGAATTTATGTATGTATCAATAAATGCAGAATTAGCGATGCATAAAATGTTATTGATGATATTGAAATAGCGTTCTAGTACATAAACCTACTTATCATTTGAGGATTTGGCTAGCAATACTTAAAAAATTAAAGTTAAACTGTTGCTTCAAAAGCACTTAAGTTGTTTGAAAAAGGGTTATATGATTACAATGAAATAAAATATTACATGTAATTATACTATAAATTATTTTACATAGGTATATCTATATAAATTTATATAATATTTTTATATTGAAGTACAATAGACATACTGATATGCAAAAGATTCATTAAGTGTATGTGTTTTTTATTGTTTTTTTAATGTTTTCAAAAAGTCTGGCATTTCAAAAACTTTGTATAGTATTTTCAATAACATTCTAACAATATTCTTAATTTTAATTTTTGCTACTCTCAATGGAGATTTTTGGTGTGTTTTTCAAAATTTTATTGTTAATGTGATAGAAATCACAAACATCTTTAATTACTTGTTAGGTGCTGTTTTAACTACCACTCATAATCTACAATTGCAACAGATGATGTACTGTTTTAGATATTTATTTTAAAATCTTTATTCATAAATAAGTTAACAAACTTCATTAAATTATGAGCTTTCAAAATAATAGAAATACTTCATTCTTTTTATATAGCCATACTGCTTTTAAATTGTTTTGCTGCGTATGATTGCACACTCTAATTCGTTTAACTTAAAGTAAAAACATTTTAATATTTTTACTTTAAATTAAAACAATATTACTTTATATAGAAATTTGTAGGGACAACCACAAAGATTTAGTTTGATTAATTATTTATTAATTATTTAGTAAATTTGAATTCAACTTTTAACCTGTGTGATTTTATGTTCTTTGTTCATTACCAAACCCCAATGCAAAAAAGTTAGTTAAAAATAGTCACACTTGCTTAATTTTATTTAGCTTAAAAATTACCCTTAATGCTCCCTGTTTTCAACATAGTGTAAAAAGAGAATAGCTCAAGGCAAGTAAAAATACAGAATTTTAAAATGTTATTGTGTTTAAAAAAGGTATTTGACTACTTTGGGCTACTTTGACATGTGGGTAACATTGACATGTGTTAGATTAAATGTTTTTACCCTTTACCCAAACAAATATAACTATTTTTATATGCATAGTAGTACAGGGTTGCCACCATTATTTAGGAACAAAATTCCCTGATTTTCCCTGATTTTTTTGCCAAAATTTTGCTTTTTCCTCCCTGATTTTCCCTGATTTTTCGCTAAAATTTTGCTTTTTTCTCCCTAATTTTTCCAGATTTTTTCCCCTTGAATTTTGCTTATTTCCACCTGATATTTCCAGCATTCAAATGCCCAAACTTAACATTTAAACTTCTCCAATAACCCCAGAGCATTTTTACTTCTAAAAAAACAGATACTATAATCCCCCAATGAGTAATGAACCAATTAATTTGCTTGAAAATTAAAATAAATAATCAAATACTTCAATCAACATATGAAATTTTTCTTTGAACCAGGGTATATTTAAAACGGATATGTTCAATAAGCATTGAAAACCTGTCAGACTTATTTAGGGTACAAGTTAATGAAATTCAAAAAAATGTAATCAATGTAATAAATTTCTAAATGTATGTTTTACATACATCTTTTAATACTTTTTGCTTTTTTTTAAGTCCCAATATTTCTTGATCTAAAAGCATTATCACGCTATTTTCTTTTGCTTGGAGTTTTCCATTTTCCTCCTAATAGTTTTTATATTGTAATTAGGCACTACAAACAGCATTTATCATTTCATTGCTTATTTCTATTTTGTTAGCCTTCAATTTGTTTGACTCCATAAAATCCTTGATAGTGCGACGAGATATAAGTGACATTCTTTTCATTTTTTCACTGAGCATATTACTGGTAATACTGAAACCTCTCTCAATTGATGCTTGCCCAAAATAAATATCAAAACCTTTGACAAAATCTTATAATCTACACTAACTTTAATGGTTTCAAAATGAAACTTGTTTAAACAATTTCCAGTGTAAAAATATTTGAATACAAGTAAAAGAGTAGATGAACTTTCCTCTAACAACTTTAAAAATTTTATAAGCTTGATCACATTCATTTGAAGTAATATGTGAGCAAGAAAGAACTAGATGTAGTACAGATTTCATCTGATGAAGATCAGCTTTTTGTTGAGAAAACTTTGATACTGGACTGATGCAACCAGTTGCTTTCAGAAAAGAAATTCGATTCAAACTTCTTTCAAATATTTTTTCCAGAATTTCAATGATAATGAGACGTAATCTTTTATGAAACTGTTGATGACACCCTGGGATAATGCATCCTTTTTCCTCAATTCGATTATGTAATGTTCTGCAGCAATTCGTCATTAATTTTAATAGCAGAAAGTTTTCCTTTTTTGTAAAATCATACTTTTGAAGTTGCCTGCCATTAACGATGCTGCTAAGGACATCTTGTTTTATAATTAAACCCATTAAACTTTTAACAGTTGAGAACAAATCTTCAAAAAGAAAAGGAATCATTGGGGCATTGGTTTGATATCTCAGTAAGATTTTCTGCAAAAAACTTGCAATGTAACCAAAAAACTACAATTTAGTCAAAGTTAACTCATCTTTTGTTCCCCCGAACCAGAGTTGCTAGTCCTTGACCTTGCCTTAAGACCAAAAATTGAGGCCTTGGCCTTAATCTTGGCTTTGAAACTGTTAGCCTTGGACTTGGTCTTGACCTTGAAAATTTTGGTCTTGGCCTATAAAAAAAAACGAATTTTCTTATTGATTTTGTTTAATTCTGCCCATACCCTTGGTCTATTATTACAAAATGTGGTTTTATTGTCACACCACTTGCTACTTACAGTTGTGTTAAAGGGATCCCAAACTCCCAACACATGTTGTGTTCATATTAAAGATAATGTTAAAAAAAAAGGTTTGAACCAAATTTTTTTGATTAAAAATAAATAATGAATGCATACCGTGAAAAACAAATGTTATTGTTTTTGCCGAAGCTCGTCTTCTCCATTTTTTTCAACTACTCGAAGTCTTCAAATTATGCGTCGCAATCTACAGACTTTGGCAATTCCTTTGAAGCGCGTTTAATTCATAAAAGTTTTAGTATTTGACGTCACGATAGACTTTTAACAAAAGCAAAGTGTAATTAAACTAAGCTACTGTAGTATTTTTTAACATACAGCAAAACAAAATTATTTGTATTATTTTTCTTAACATCGCAAAAAAAATTTTGTAAAAAGTAAAAACAATAAATTATTTTTATTTTATAGGAGCAACTTATTTTTTACAGATATCTTAATAATTTTTAGATTTATATATCTTACTTATATTTCTTTAATTATTTAAATTAAAACAAATATTAAAGCTTTACTTACCAATCTCATGATTTTCATACGAGTATTTTACATTATATAGAACGTTTTATATACGGTCTCTTGTTTTAGCGCAAGAGAGCGCAGTATTATATATTCTGATTCTTAATTATTTTTATTTAAACAATGGGAACTATTTTCTAACTTCTCTGGTTATTTTTACGCTATGACAATTTTTTGTTTTCCCGTTGAAAAAAAGTATTTATTAACAATTACTTTCATAAACTAACAGTATTAATTAGAGATATTTAATGAATTGTTAACTTTTTTTATTATAAAATTTTTTTGATCACGCTGATTTAATTTAAAATGCTAAATTTGCTGAATTGGATACAGATAAAAAGGAAATACCATTTTATTTTACATTTGATTTTTGATAATGAAATTTTTAAAATGTCAGCAACTCCATACCAATTAGAACCTGTTAAAATTATGAAAAAAAAATACAAGAATACACTAAACAATAGTTTAGTGTATTTTTGTTCTTTTTTTTTAACACTTGACAGTAGTATCAGATATGAAAATTCGTGAAAGGATATGTGAGATCCTAATTTTGCATTAAAAGTACAATTAATTGCAACACAAGTCGGCATTATAAATCTTGATTATAAGTTTACTGTTCAATATTTTATAACCATCAAATAAAAAACATGAAGTTTGTATATTTTTGCCCGTTTTATACAACTAATATTCAACCAAAATACGGACAAATTATTATTAAATAATGCAATAATTAACACATTAATTAAAGGCAATAATTCAAGATAGATGGTAATTTAAATTGTTAAAATGTCATAACGCACATTAAAAAACATATTATATTTGGTATTTCCAAATTTGTGTCGTAATTGGCATTTGTCTCTTAACATGAAAAATTAAAAATTTTTAAAAACACAATTAACAAATACAAATTTTCAAGCAATTTTCTCTTCCAATTCTCATTTATTCAAAGAAAATTAAGCTATTAAACTTTTATTTCTCCCATCAAAAAAAAGAACGAGTGACGCAAAAAAAAATATATATTCTTTACAACTCTTATTCATTCAAAGTTTAATTGCGCGAAACTTTTCTTTCTCTTTTGTTTTACTCTTTTATAAAAAGAGCGCCCGATGAAATAAAAACTTTTATTTTTTAATATATAATTATAGTTTGAGATAAAATTAAATTAGAAATAAATCAACAATGAGCAAAGCAACGAACAGATTAATCTGGAACTATTTTGATATTTATAAAAATAAACAACA